TATCTGCATCCTGGATAAACTTACATGCTTCAGAAATGACACCAGTTCTGTTGTCATTTGCTAACAAAGTACTGCTGTAGTAGTTATATGGAAATACTTCTTTCGGTCCTGTTTGTAAGTTAAACATAGCAGGAAATAGTTTAAGCTTCTTATTTATAACACTGTAAGAGTCTTTTATAATAATTGCCCTTCCTTTATATAAGCCAGTTATTTGCATTGTTCGTGAACCTTTAATGATGGGAGTTCCTTTCACTTCTGTCATGTGTCTTAAGATGAAGTTTATATCATAGCTGAGGTTATGGAAATATATTAAACTCTTGTCAGGAAGTCGTTCCAAAAATTCTGTTGCACAGTTCTGACCCCAAATGCTTTCACTCACTGAACCATCTTCACTGTCGTAACATATGTTAAAAGCTTTATGAAAGCCATCGGTACTACACTCAAAGTCAGCAAAGAAAACGTGCTCAGGAATGAACTTGCACTTATTTTTATTTACTTCTTTTGACTCTGCTTTCTTCTTCAGTTGTACACAATACTTTGGAGCATATGTCAAATCTTTAAATGGTGCAAGGTTCTGTTTATATAAGTCAGTCGTATATGTGAAAAGTTCTCCATAAGAAATAGGTTCGAAATATTTGCACTCCCACAATGTTTTCATAACATCCCATAGCGGTGTAGTTCTATCATAACGAACTACATATTTGTTCTCTCTCTTTGTATATATTTTCATCTGTTTCTCAATGTTCATTCCACACACACCTTCAAGATTTCTTTGTAATTTCTGACGAAGTATGTTGTCATTGGAAGTCTTTCGTTTAGCATGTAGTGGTCTTCAACAAGAAGTAGGTCAATAGTTCGAACAGTTTCACATTCTTTTGGTATGTATCTCTTTTATTTCATTATATCTTGAGTCATTGAAGTAACCAATGGTAACATTAAATGCTATACCTGTTGCGTCAGAAATTTCTTGTACTTTACTTTGAGGAAAGTCTCTAACACGAATGACTTCTCTCATGTGTCAATAGTTTCTTCATTTACTCCAGCCTGAATGCAAGCATAAACGAAACAATTGTCTTCTGTCATAAGTGTTGCAGTTCTTTGTTCAGTTCATTGAAGATTTGGTAGCGTTCAAGATTTATAGGTAATGTGCAAAGATACTTCCAGAACTGACCGCTTCTCTTCTTATAAAACTTCTTTTCACCATTATCTTTCCAAAAGCTTTCTATAAGTGCTGGGTTTCCTGTTTGCTTAAGAGCTTCCAAAATGGCTTTCTGGTCATTTGTCAGTGTGCTTTCATCTCTATATGGTCTCTTTTTTGGTTTGCCTTTCTTTACATCTGACATCGTTAAGCCTTCATATTCTGTTAAATCATACATCTTTATTTCAGTAAGATTCTTTATGTTTGTCAAGAAGAAGTCATAGTGCATTTCAACAATACCTGCGGCATTTGCTTCTATCTCTGATATAAAGTTCTCCTTCAAGAGCTGATGTAGTAATGTTCCATATTATTGAGGTTTAACGTAGAACATTCATACTTTCCACCAAGTTTATAACATACCATCCATCTCTGTTGTGAGTTTATTTTAATCTTCTCTAAGAGTCTCATGAAAACCTTACCGAAATGTTTGTGTAAATATTCTCTGTTTGGTTCATCTAAAGCTTCGATGTTAAAGTCAATGAGTCTATTGCCTGACTTCACATTTCTCTTCCTATTCTCTTCATCTTTCTTTAACCATCTCTCACCTTCTTTTGGTTTGTCGTCAATGGAACGAATGACATCGTTAGCTTTGCGAACTTGTTCTATAGCACTTTTAAACATCTCTCTTCTCTGTTGTTTCAGTGTGTCGTCTCTTCTTCTTGTTTCACCAACGTTTGCATTTGTTATGTCAAACATTTCTCTTCTTACTTCATGAGGTACTGAACGTCTATGATATAAGTCAATAGCAACGTCATTTAAAGGAAAAGTTCTTGCATGGACTTCGTCCTCGCCGCGTTGCGGCTTTATGAACTCATGAATTCTATCATAACTTATTGCACCATTATAGTCATTGAGGATGTCAGCGAGTGCTTTTTTGTTTGTCGCGTAATGTTTTGCAACATCTATGTTAGCTTCTGTAAGAAGTTGTTTTATTTCCGAGTGTTCTAACTTAGACAACTTCCGATACATCTTTAGTAGGAAATAAAAAAATATTTTTTGAAAAAATTTAGATTAGATTTTTTTTAAGTTATTTTTCAAAATAATTTAATATTTTTATTTTAATGAAACACATGCAAGATTGCAAGTTCTTTTCATACAATGCTCTCGCTAATGCCATCAAGAATGAGTTCAATAATGCTTCAAATGTTAATGTTATCTTTAACAAGAAGTTTGTGAAAGAATCTAAGTTCGGTCAGTATGTCAGACCATTAGCTATCGTCATTGACCGCAAACGTTATACTTCACAAGAGTTAGCAGTAGTTTTGAAACAAAAGGGTTTCTTCGTGAATGTCAAAGATACTCATATATACTGTTATAAGAACTCTAACATTGACTTCTTCAGTATTGCTTTAAATCTTTCGAACAGAAAGAATATATAGAAGGGTGAAACAAATGTGAAATATTATCCTTCATCTCTGAAGACAATAACGAACAAAGATGTTTATACAGAAATTCTTACCAAAGGTTGAAGAAGCTTCTATTGACATTGACGAAGGAAGTGAAATGGTTGAAGAAATTGACCCTGACGTCATTTAAGCAAAAATATATTTTTGGTTAGTCTTCATATCGACATTTTACAACACTTAAATGGTAAAAACAAAATAAACTTGACGAAGTGAAGATTTGCACTTCGTCGATTATGATCGACATGGAGCGTTTTGTTTTTATCATGGTTTTCTCCACTATGGTTCTAACGTGGCACCCGACGAGATTTTTTTTCATTCTTCCTCTTTGAAGTTGTCGAAATATTCTGTTATCTTTTCTTTCAGTAATGTTAAGTCTTCTTTGAATGTAAGTATTGTGCAACCTTTGATGTCATAGTGTGTTTGAGGAAGTGTGTCTTGAACTATCTGTTTAACATCTTCATTCGGTGTCATTGAAATCGGTAAGTTTTCGCAATAGAACCAATTTCTGTCAGATTTGTAAATCTTAGCAAGGTCGTAAAAGCTTTTGTTGTTTCTTCTGACTAAATGCAACATAACCATGTCACTGTCTTCTTCTTTCTCCAACTCTTCAGTATATATCATATACTTATAACTCTTTTCCTTTCCTTTTGGTACTGAACGTGGTATTCTTTTCTGTATGCTTTTGTCTTTGGATTCAATGACTTCATCTTTTGCTTGAAGTTTCTTTTCCATATCTTCACGTTCTTGTCTGTGAAGTTCGTCAAGAAGTTTACAAACATACCATGAATAGCGAGCTGAAGCCCATTGTGCCACATTATTTACGAGAAGTCTATGAACATAATATCCTCTCAAACCGTTTGGCAATTTTTCACGGTTTTCATAGAGTTTTGGCGACTGGGATTTTTTATATCTACTCGCTGTTCTTCACTGTTTTCAGAAAAAAGTATGTCTCGCTGTGCTTCGCTTAAGAGTTCAATGGTGCTTTGGTTCCTAAACCAGTCTTTAGGAAGCTTAGTGTCTGGAGCAAAACAAGCCGTCAAAATACTTTGCATCTGGTACATATCGTCTTTGACCGAACGAATGAGTCTCAATTTTTTGTTATATTGTATGTATTCATATTCTTCATTTATGGCTTCATGAACGATAGCAGTTGTTGTGTTCTCTGTTGTTGACATATCTGTCTTTATATTCCGGATAAAAAAATATTTTATAAAAAACTAACTTATTTTCTGACTTTCACAAAAGACCAAAAATAAACGCTTTACATGTATTTTTCAGCAACTTCGTCAAATAATTTTATAGCTTTATCTATCTCATCTACTTCAAACGTTCTTTACCTTTCATGGGAGCACCATACCTTTTCTCAAACTTTTCAAGTAGTTCTGTTTCTGCAGCTCTCATATCATTAACGAACACAACCTTGACTCTATTGACTGTACTGTCATATCTTTGAGTTATATTATATGTTCTTCCTATCTTATATCTCTTTGTATTGAAGTCCTTCGGTTTCTGAACGATGTAAAGTAAGCCTTCACTGCAACGTTCCGTATTGAATGAACCATAAGTTATGAAGTTATATCCAACAACTGGGTCTAACCATAACAAAACTATTGGTATAAGACTTTTGTCAATGAGATATGCTGTAGTTCCATAGAATCTTACTGATATCATAAGCTCAGGATTTCTTGTCAAAATTTTCTGAGTTGAAGCATTTCTAACCCAGTCGTTTGTTTTCTTTCCAGATGGAGATATAATGTCTGACAAAGAATATTTGTTGTATTTCTTTGAGTATCTTACGTTTAAATTACCTATTCTAACCACTTTGGTGTCATTGTCTATCTTTCTAACTGTTTCAAACTCAACCTTTAACATTACTGTTCTTACATACAAGATAAAAAGTTAGAAAAATAATGTTTATGTTAGCATGTTAGATCTAACACGTTTTCTAACCACTTTTCTAACATAACTATTTACAAGCGTTTTACATGGTATATGTTGCGATGGTTCATGACTTTAAACAGTTTTGTAGCTTCTATTTCTTCACGAAGGATATCAAAAATTTTAACTATGCCGAAGGTTTCTTTATATTTCTTCTTGACATCAGATAATAGGAAATCGTCAGCAGTTGGATAGTTTTTGTTCAGAAATGCTAACATGTCCATTTTATCTTCTGCTGGTTTCTCTACTTCTTTCTTTAAGTCAGCATAGTCGTTTCTCATACGTTCTATCTCTTTGACGGAGTAGTTATATTTCCTCATTGCTGCTTTACATTTTGAACATTGCGGATTCATTTTTGCGTTATACATTGAAATTTGACCTGCTAGAACAACTAAGGCGTCAATGGTTTTCTTTAACTCAAAAGTTGTTGGTTTTATTTGTCCATTCCATATTTTACATCTTTTATCTTTATCTCTTATCTGCCATACACATTCAGCAACTAATGAAACAAAGTTGTCGTATGTCTTAAACTCCCCAGATTTATATATGTCAGAGATGTTCTTATATACCATGTCGCAATCTTTGTCCATAACTTTATGGTTGCAATGAAAACCAAGGAATTCATAGTTTACTTTACGTATGAACTTCTTTATTTCTACTGAGTCAGTTGGTTTCACTTCTATTTCATCGAATTCATGAATAGTGAGCTTTTGTTGTTGGATTTCAGGCAATTTGGGTAAATGGTCAATAATATCCTGCATGTCATAAAGATACTGTTCATTTGTTTCATCTTTCGCACTACAGTCTAAATTACTTGTTAAAAGTTCTTGCTTAATTCTTTGTATTTCTGTCTCAAAAGTATATGAAGAAGGAATGAAGCTTTTCATCTCTACTAACATAGATGTTGGATTCATAACTAAAGAGTTTGGTGAAGTTGTTGTTTGAAGTATTGTAGAACCTATTGTTGAAATCATATCTTTACATACAAGATAAAAATTTTTCTTAGAAAAAAATTAGCGTTATTTTTCTTTCATAAGGAAATGTCAAAAATTCATGATTTTCGAGAGTTTTAGACCATGTTAGAAAAGTGGTTAGAAAACGTGTTAGATCTAACATTCTAACATAAATAAAGTTTATGTTAAAATAAATGGTACCATTAATGATATCATGACTGTTCTCGTTCATGTCTGATTTACATCTAATGAAAAAGTTTAGAAGAATTTTCTTATTCTTTCTGGCTATTTTTGTCTTTCCAGTACTCCCGCTCTAATGGTCCCAGATGTGTTGGCTTTGACTCTCTCAAGTTCTTAGATGGTATAACATCTTCAACGCCTCCTTCATATCTTACTTTATAAGTGTCATCGTTTGTGTTATAGCAAGTATTTCAATAACCACTCCTCGCTTTGCTTCGTCAATGGTTTCAGCAAGTTTGCCATTACTACTTTCGACTAATTTATGACGAGGATAAAACGCAATGAGTCGTCAGCAGCTTTTATAAGATATCCATTACCTTGCGTAGAGTCTACGATATAATAATTTCGACTTAACCTTAAACGTTTCTTTGTCAACGGTTTGTCGTCAAGAACTACACGAACTTTTGTACCAGGAATGAGGGTAAATTGTGTTGAATTTCTGATATTTTGTGTTTGGCTTCGTTTCTTTTGTATATACTTTTCTTCTTGTTGTTGTGTCATTGAATTTGGTGTATGTCCTGTTGTAGAATGTGTTGAGGAATTATATACTTCGAGAAAATGTTTCATTGTTTCTTCGGTAAAGTCTCGCTCTTGATTTAAATCTCTGAGCGTTCTTATGAAGCGGTTATGATGCCGAGTATGTATGGTTATGGTCTTCAGTAGTGTAGTGAGTTATGTTATGCTTAATGAGAAATCTGTGATTTCATTGCTGAGGTATGCTGTCTTGGTCTGATGTTAAAGTACTTGGGTTATGTTCTGCTACAAACTTTTGTAAAACTCTTAACACTTCACGAGTTCCTTTATTTCTCATTATATACGCAAAAGCTTTGCGAGTGTTAACATTAATGAAGATGAGGAATGGTTTATGTCCTCCTTTTCTGCTTTGAATGAGAGTGTCAAATTGGTATGCGTCAGGAGTGTTGGAGTAAATTGGTAAAAAGTAGTCGTAAGGGTTTATTTTTGTTTGATGTACAACATTTTTGTCAAAGAACCTTTTCACTTCAGCTCTGTTAGTAAATCCCCAACTCTTTGCAGCTTCATTGAACTTCTTAAATGACCTCCATGGATGTTGTTCGAATACTTCTTTCAAGCTCATTTATGTAAAAATAAAGATTTTATTCTAGGCTCAAGCGAGTTCATTGAACGCGGTACCATGCGAATATAGTCACAAATGGTGGCATGTATATCTTTACCCGAGCCTGTTGGATTTGTTGTGAAAGTGTGTGAATGATTTCCTGTGGTTCCACAGAAAATACCTGCGCTTGAATCTACTGGGTCACTTGAAATATCATATCTATGCATTCCCTGTCTATCCGAACCTGCTGCAATTTTGTATAACCTCTTTTTGTTATTGAATGTGAATGACTACCTGTTGTGTTTGTAGTTCCTGTATGAGTGTGCGGTGGAAGGTTTGCTTCTTTAATTTTCTTCGAACCACCTGTTTGCTTTGAAGAGTTCGCACAATAGAGGAATTTATCTACAATCTGTTCCCACGTACCAAAACCTAAAACACTTGCCGGATTTGTTGAGTTCATTGACGTATAAATAGAGCCTATAGGATATATGGTTTCAAGAATCTGGGCCTTCATTGTTAGAAGTTCATGTTTAACGTTTATAGTTTTATTGCCTTCTACAATATTTATATTGTTTGTTATTAAACCATTAGGAAAAGTAGGAGGATAAATTCTTTGTTCTTGTACAGTTGCACCGTCTCTTCCTGTTTTTGTTACTATTTCGATGCATGCCTTAATTTCTTTAATCTTGATTGTTTGAAATTCTTCATGCACGTGCTCTTTATCGGCTTTTCCATTAAGCGCAGCATTTACTTCCGACTTCTTTGCATAATTTTCATCTACATAAGTTTTGTCGGCTTTCTTATCTAACATTGCTGGTAGTTCATGTGCTTCAAAGTTTCTGGCATGACCTTCAATATTCCTGCAACTGTTATCTAAATTGTTTAGTGTATCTTTTACGCTTGTACTTGGATTCTCTAAAGGTGCACTTGAACCAAGGGTATAGTTCAATATTATGTCGTCTGCTCTAACAGTAGTGAAGGATTTATGTGTATGGTTCTTGTCGGCTTTACTGTCTAATGTAGCTTGAAGTTCATTTATATCGGAGATGTTGTGTTTATGAGATTTCAAAACTTTGTTCGTTGCTTCAAGTTCAACTTTGTCAGCTTTACTTTTAATAGCATCTTCAAACGTTATTTTTGACTTAACTCTCAAAGTAAATCTTGGTTCAACTAATACACCGTTAACATTGAAAGTAGAGGCATAAATTTCACCGGTATAACCAAATGCTTCTGGTGCTTTAGCTACATCATACTGTACAGTACAGCTTATGTCATAACCTTTAGCACGAATGTATTTATATCTTCTTTCATTAACATTTTTTGTCTTCGCTTCATCACTTCGTGTTAAATATCCATGGTAGTTCGTTATAATCTGTTCGTCTGAAGTTATATAATGAACGTGGTTCTTGACTTTATCACTCAGAGCTAAAAGCTCATTTTTGTTTGCTTTTTCGGCTAATTTCTCATTAACATCATTCACTTCTAATTCAACTCTTCCGCCAGAACTCTTATTATCATTAATCTTTTTCATTAATTCGGTAATTACGTCATAAAGACTATATTCTGTTTTCGGTTTTGTAAATAATGAGTCAAAATTTCTTTTCATCATTACATCGCTGACATTAATGATATCACCAATTCCTTTTTCATTTATTCTCTTCATTAATTCTGCAATAATGACGAATATATAATCTGTTAATTTATTCTCTTCATCGAGGGTTATAGAATGTTTTGAAATTGAATCATTAACTCCTCTAAATAAATCAATAACTTCAGGATACACGTTTTTAATGTCTCGAATAACCCGACCAGTATCCTGTTGTTCATGTTCTTCGTTCCCGTCGTTACGTGGTTTTATATCTCTAACCATCATCAACGCAGCCATAACCGGAGGGTTTGTTGCTATCTGTTCGAAAATCCGTCCGTTATGTACGGTATATCTAAATAATTTCTTTGTGTTTGTTAAAACATTTGAAACAAGTCTTTTAAAACCATCTACAAAATTTCCTGTTTCACCTAATGTTCTTGCAGCATTTACAAGCTCACCCATTCCCGCTTTTGACCCCAAAAACGTCCATATTGCATTTATTTCACTCTGTATAGTTGTCCATTCAGCGAAACTAACACCCGCATTCGCTAAGCTGAAAATGAAATTCAGTGGATCGAACTTAATTCCACCTTCTTTTTCAATTTCAACGAACTCACTAACATGAGATTTTAAATATTCTTTCGTTAAAATTGTTTTCCCCGATGTTATGTCATTAACGAAACTATCACCGTCAAAAGTTAACGAATTCAATTTCGTCGTTGATGCTTTTATTTCATACACCGCTTTATCGATAGTTTTTGGCTCACCTTCTTTAGAAGCATATGAAACATTAATGAATGAATTATATGTATTCATGAATGAATTAAAATCAATGATTTTCATTAATGACGCCTTTAATGATTCATTTACTGTCGAATCCCTTAAAGTAATTAATGAACTGTCATTTATGAAAGGTACACTGCAAACCGTCGAGTTTGGATCAAATGCTATAGTTGGTGCAGGAATATTAATGATATAAGTCATTAAATCATTAAGTGACGTAAATAATGTTGTCGTTTTTGATTTAATTTCTTTAGCATCTGTTATATATGGTAATTTTATTTCTGTAGTTTCTGAATTAAAGATATTCGCTAAAATGTTTTGTAAACTGTTTTGAACAGCTGTGTAAACCGTTGAATCCGGAACTCTTACGATTTCACCATCCTTAATAAAAGGCATTGTACATGGCGTAGTGCTTGGGTCAAATCTTTCGGGATTATAATTCAACATATATTCTAACGCTTCATGAACAGACTTATATACTGTTGTGTCGTTCTTCATGACAACTTCACCATTTACAATGAATGGCATAGTGCATGGAGTTAAAATGGGGTCAAACTTTTCATAGTCCTTCCATGTTATGTATTTCTCGGTATTTCCATCACTGATAACAATATATTTGTCAGTAAGTGTGAGAGAGTATTGACCAAAATATAAACGTTTAGCTCTGTCAGCTTCATACGCATATGCAGCTATACTCATATTTTAATGAGAATAAAATGTTGTTCTATTTGCAAAGTACAGACCCAAACGAATACGGGACAGTAAAACTACAAACAAACTTAGGTCTACAGAATGAGCCACTTGCATTCAGAATGGTTGACTTTAATACTATTGCTTCATTCGTTATAACTGACGAAACAGATTTCATGGAGCTTGAAATAGATGGAAAGAAGCACGAAATAAGATTTCACAATAATGTAGAATATAAGATGGAAACATTAGCTGGAGTGTTAAATGCTCTCATAAATACTACAATAAACAAGGATAACGGAGAAAACTTAATGAATGTTAAACTTATTGCAGGAGTTTTGAAGTTCAGTTATGCGAAAGAGTTTAAGATACCAAGAATGAGTCATAGAGTACAACTTCTTTTGGGAGCATACCATATGACATTTCCTTTGAAAAGTGTTGACAAAACGATTGAGATGAAATCTGTTCCATACGTATGTTATGGCAATTGTTTGTACATTGAGTCAAAAATAGCTAATGTCACAGGTATTTCAGGAGTTAATAGTAAAGGTTCAGTAGAATATAAATCCTTCTGTTATGAAGTAAATTCAATGTTCATTCCAAACGTTCCTGTCATAGCAACTCATTTAGGTAAATGGGTTCGCATTAGTCCTCATAATTTGAAAGACATGCAATTCAGACTTGTTGACTTTCAAGGAGAGCCTGTAGAACTGAAGGCACCAGTGCGAATGACTGTTGAAGTTGACTTTTTAGAAAATATTAAATGCAACAGCTTACAAGAGAACTCAGAGCTAAAAATATAAAGTATGAATGTTATGTATTAGGTCATGAACTTTGGTTGTTGCTGTTTGATGAAACAAATGAGTTAGTTATGTCAGTCAAGAGAACAGAAAAATATTGTGTTAGTGAAAACTGCACCAAGTCAATAAGATTAGGTTTGCATTATGAAGATGAGTTCGATACTGTTGAAGAAGTTTTGGATAGATATTACAAATTGCTTTAATTTACTAAAACATATTTCAAACAAAGCTTATAGTAAGTAGATAGTTTTGTATACTCGTTCGAATATTTATACTTAAACTCAACTCCTGGAGTACCTGGTGTTTCAATGATGCGGATGTTACCTATTTTCATGAATATTGGAGTTTGACCACAGCATTCGATTTCAGGGTCGAGATAGTCAATGACACATTGCTTTCCTGTTATTCGTGATATAATATTTTCAAGGTCCTCCTTTGTTAGAATTATTTGGTTCTTACTTATAAGATTTGTCAAAAGCTTCTTATCGTCTTTGAGTAAAATTGTTTGGTATAACTGAAGAAGGTAATGGTCTACGTTATCTGAAGGATTTGTTTGAACATTTGTGTAAGGGTTGTCGTTGGCTTCTCTTGAAAGAATTTGGTCCAGTGGTGGATACTCTAACTTAACATCTGATGTAGCGTTAGCGTTTGAAGCTGTGTTTAAATTCACCGACTTAAGTCTGGTTCTTTTTCTTTCAAACACTCTGAACTATAGTTCTTTATGACAATATTGTTTGTCGTTCGTGAGTCAACATTTGATGTTGGTTCAATTGGAACATTAACGGCACCAGCTAAGATGGATTTGCTTCTCATTTCATATAGAATAAAAACCTTTTATATGTATGAAATGAACAATATACTCGACAAGGGTTTGAATGTAAAGCTAACGAATGAAAATATTGTTGAATTCACTGAGACAGGAGCTGTGTATAAAGATGTAGAACTACTGAACAAAAGAGCAAAGGGAAGAAGCAGGAATATGAACAAAGGGTGGAAGCCTATAAAAATTTATGTCAATGATGGCTCAGGAGGTTCAAACATAAAGTATGCAGAAAGTTATAGAGTTTATGCTCTCAAAGGTGAAAAGCCTTCATTTAAGAACAGCTATTCTAACGCATATCCTCAAAAGCTAACGGATGGGGAAGTGGATGATATGAATGACAGCAAAAATATTAACAGAAATGGCGACAGAGATGCATGGAATTTGTTTACCATCAGTCAATTGAAGGTTAAACTTTAAAACAATGTTGGTCGTTCCCATGGAATATTTTTGACTTTAATGGTATTAGTCATGATATGAATCTCAAGGTATGAACGAGGAGAGATGAGAGACTTATATGCTTCCCAAATTTCTTCAAAAGGTAATGTTATACCTGACTGTTTCCAAATGAGTTCAATATCATAGCGTGAGAAACCTTGAAAGATAACGAAGTCAGTTATGAGACGTTTTATGTTTAAAGCAAGGAAACGCCATGTTTGCATAAGTATTGCTACAGTTAAATGGTAATGTCTGACTTTAGTTATGATGTTAGCTAATGGTGAGTCAGGCTTTGACACTAAACCTTTTCCGGCGAAGTCGTCACAAACGAGCAGAGTGTTTGAAGGATACTTTTTGAAGGGGTATTTTGAAAGTTTTGATAGAATGTAGTTTGTCAGTCGTTTCATATCGTAAACTCCTGAGTACTGACGTAAGTGGTGTTTGTCAATAATTCTTTCCATCTCTTCTGAAGTCTTTTGCATTCCTGACTGTATGAACTCTACAATAGCATAATATTTTCTCTTACGTCGAATGTAACGTTGAAGAAATTCAATGAGTTCGCTATCTGGAACTTTAACGACAGATGCTTGAACTTTACTCATGAATGTTTTCGCTGTTGAATCCATAGAGTCTGAAGTTGCTGATATAATGATTTGGTCATAGTAAGAGTCGTTTCCTAAACGCTCTGTTATGAGTATATGACGAATGAGGTTAAATGTCTTACCTGAACCCATCTTTCCACAATAGAAATACACACCATTTGAACAGAATTCATAGTCCTTACTGAAAGGAAGAATAAGAGAAGAGTTAAGTTTGTCTGTAGTTTCATTCATGTCTTCATCTACGTCATGTATTAAATGCTTCATTTTATCTCCATTAAAAATGCAAGTCAGAAATATTCAGAACATAGCACCGAGTCTAACTGACAAGAGTATAAAGATATACTATGAACACGTTATGATGAAACCAACCAAAATTCAAGAAAGTCAGTATACTTATGAATATCCAAGACACTGGGTAGAATATGTAGGAGGTGAGAAAGCTATTGAAATAAGACAAGTTAGAAGTATTCCAGCAGGAAGGACAATATTATTGAAGAACTTTAATGTTTTGAGATATAATGATGAAACAAAGAAGCAAGATAGTTTCCCTGTTGCTGTGTATGTGAACTTAGATACAGGAGATGACATGAAAGTTTTTAACACAAAGCTTCAAACGGTATTGAAAGAACAACTTACAGCAGAAGGACATCTATTACCTTCAGAAGTTACCATAGCATATAATTTTGAAACAAATGCAATAGATTTTAAAGTCGTCTCTGCAAAGAAGTCGGGTTTTACATTTAATGAAGCAGATGTATATTCGAATGAAAACTTCAAAGCTATTGCATGGTTAGATAATGACGATTGCTTTAAGAAAATCTTTAAATTCAGTGACTCAAAGATGTCAATAGATGACCTTCGTGGAATGTTACCATCGACGTTTACAGTTGAAGGCTCAGCAGGATTGCTTACAAGATTGTCAATTGGTAGCGTTTGGTCTCGTGAGAACATTGTTATAAAATCCAGTATAAGTGAATTTGCTGAAGAATCTATATTATGTCTTTCAAACTACATGTATTCGCCACCGAAGCATTATAGTATAACAAACTTTGTCAGTAAGTTTAACATAAGACTTGTCGAACCTTCTTCAATGAAAGATGTTGTGCTACCTAAAGATGGAAAGGATGGACTCATTATTGAGATGATTTTAATTGCATATTAAATGAGCTTGTTCTTAAAGGTCGTTCATGATGAAATAACTGTTGTAGAAGATGTTAGCAATTGTTCAGACATTTTGAAGCGAATAGATGAGATAAGAAAGAAGTTAGATAGACCGCAAAGCGGTGAGGGTGAAGCCCGTGAGAATGTTTATGTTTCATTGACTTTCTCCAGTAACGAGAACTTTTATGAGATAATATTGAAGAGAGATGATTTTAATATGGTGTAAATGGTAGCTTGGGCAGCTTTAGGCGCAATGGGAACAAAAGCATTAGCATTTGGAGCAAAAGCACTTGGAGCTTATGACGCAGTAAATAAAATGAGTGGAGGAGGGTTTCGAAGACATTAGATGCAAATAAAGGAAAGATTGGAGGCTGGGTTGCAAAGAAGCTAAGATTGAATAAAATAGGGCTCATAAATAAAGCATCCAATTTGGTTGCGACTGAGTCAGAAAATGCTTTAGGAAAGGACGATGAGTTTGCAAAACACGCAAAAGACTTTAATGACCAGATGAAAGGTGAAACAATGCATTTAAATAGAGTCGATGGAACTAAAGAAAATGTTTCTTCTCCACCAGCGGTTTATCCATACGGACCTTATGGAATGTATGGAAACCCTTATGAACGACCATTTGACCCATTGACTGGTGGAAGTAATTGGTATCATTATGGACGAAGAAGAAAGACAGTCAAGTTGGAGACAGACGTGAAGAAAGCAACTAAAAAGAAACCAAGGAAGAGAGTTATAAAGCAATGAATTCAACAGGGTAGAAATGAGGTTAGAAATCGGGTTAGAAATCGGGTTAGAAATCGGGTTCGATCTCACCACTTCACCTAAATTTATTTTTGTGCTATGTTTTCATACGTGTGAGGGTGGTGATATCATTTATTTTTTATTTTATTTTTTAAAATTATTTTTATTTTATTTGGATGTAATGACAGAACAAAAGCAACTCATACAAATCAAAACATATAACAAACATACATTTAAACATTTATTCTTCCTTCCTGAGCATAACATGTTCTTTCAAATACATCCGAGACCAGTTGACTTTTCATTGACTGTTTATAAAGATAGAAATAGTTATATCATTAAACCATACGATGACGAAGGTAAGTTATGTAAATTGTACGTTAAGAAGTTAGAGAAAGTTTATGGCTTCAAGTATGACTACAATAGGGTTAACACTGATGATGAAGATATTGAGGAAAATTTATGAGAACATTAGTGAAGTTGTTAGTGAGAACGATAGTGAGGTGAAATTGTTGGCGGCTTTGTAAATATTTAAGGTTAAGTTAGTTTTTGCGTTCATGTTGTAAAATATACGTTAACGGTTTTGTAAAGTGTCAAATTCACATATAATGGGTAAGTAGGTGCGCAGTGCCACCATACCCAAGACTTGTATACTAACTGTATATGACGAATGAGGTTAAATGTCTTACCTGAACCCATCTTTCCACAATAGAAATACACACCATTTGAACAGAATTCATAGTCCTTACTGAAAGGAAGAATAAGAGAAGAGTTAAGTTTGTCTGTAGTTTCATTCATGTCTTCATCTACATCATGTATTAAATGCTTCATTTTATCTCCATTAAAAATGCAAGTCAGAAATATTCAGAACATAGCACCGAGTCTAACTGACAAGAGTATAAAGATATACTATGAACACGTTATGATGAAACCAACCAAAATTCAAGAAAGTCAGTATACTTATGAATATCCAAGACACTGGGTAGAATATGTAGGAGGTGAGAAAGCTATTGAAATAAGACAAGTTAGAAGTATTCCAGCAGAAGGACAATATTATTGAAGAACTTTAATGTTTTGAGATATAATGATGAAACAAAGAAGCAAGATAGTTTCCCTGTTGCTGTGTATGTGAACTTAGATACAGGAGATGACATGAAAGTTTTAACACAAAGCTTCAAACGGTATTGAAAAGAACAACTTACAGCAGAAGACATCTATTACCTTCAGAAGTTACCATAGCATATAATTTTTGAAACAAATGCAATAGATTTTAAAGTCGTCTCTGCAAAGAAGTCGGGTTTTACATTTAATGAAGCAGATGTATATTCGAATGAAAACTTCAAAGCTATTGCATGGTTAGATAATGACGATTGCTTTAAGAAAATCTTTAAATTCAGTGACTCAAAGATGTCAATAGATGACCTTCGGAATGTTACCATCGACGTTTACAGTTGAAGGCTCAGCAGGATTGCTTACAAGATTGTCAATTGTAGCGTTTGGTCTCGTGAGAACATTGTTATAAAATCCAGTATAAGTGAATTTGCTGAAGAATCTATATTATGTCTTTCAAACTACATGTATTCGCCACCGAAGCATTATAGTATAACAAACTTTGTCAGTAAGTTTAACATAAGACTTGTCGAACCTTTCAATGAAAGATGTTGTGCTACCTAAAGATGGAAAAGGATGGACTCATTATTGAGATGATTTTAATTGCATATTAAATGAGCTTGTTCTTAAAGGTCGTTCATGATGAAATAACTGTTGTAGAAGATGTTAGCAATTGTTCAGACATTTTGAAGCGAATAGATGAGAAAGAAAGAAGTTAGATAGACCGCAAAGCGGTGAGGGTGAAGCCCGTGAGAATGTTTATGTTTCATTGACTTTCTCCAGTAACGAGAACTTTTATGAGATAATATTGAAGAGAGATGATTTTAATATGGTGTAAATGGTAGCTTGGGCAGCTTTAGGCGCAATGGGAACAAAAGCATTAGCATTTGGAGCAAAAGCACTTGGAGCTTATGACGCAGTAAATAAAATGAGTGGAGGTAGGGTTTCGAAGACATTAGATGCAAATAAAGGAAAGATTGGAGGCTGGGTTGCAAAGAAGCTAAGATTGAATAAAATAGGGCTCATAAATAAAGCATCCAATTTGGTTGCGACTGAGTCAGAAAATGCTTTAGGAAAGGACGATGAGTTTGCAAAACACGCAAAAGACTTTAATGACCAGATGAAAGGTGAAACAATGCATTTAAATAGAGTCGATGGAACTAAAGAAAATGTTTCTTCTCCACCAGCGGTTTATCCATACGGACCTTATGGAATGTATGGAAACCCTTATGAACGACCATTTGACCCATTGACTGGTGGAAGTAATTGGTATCATTATGGATGAAGAAGAAAGACAGTCAAGTTGGAGACAGACGTGAAGAAAGCAACTAAAAAGAAATCAAGGAAGAGAGTTATAAAGCAATGAATTCAAGAGGGTAGAAAACCGGGTGAAAAAAGAGGTGAGATTTCACCGCTTCACCTAAATTTATTTTTGTGCTATGTTTTCATACGTGTGAGGGTGGTGATATCATTAATTTTTAAATAAATGTGGGAACAAAAATAAAGCATATCTACTCAACAGGAATGAGACCCTTACTGACTATGTATTCGTTTAATGCTTGATGAAAACAATGGTACATATTATCGTATGGGTATACACAACGTCTGTTTCCATCGTCGTCGTATATGTAGAGCTCAAATCCAGTCCAACCTTCTTTTGTACAATATGTAGCTTTATTTAAGTATGCATTTATGTAGATAAGGCAATTTTCTTCATCGCTCCAGAAATAATTTTTCGTCTTTGTTGAAATAGTTTTCGTTCCTCTACGTCCATAAGGAATGTATGCAATAAATTTAGCATCATAAGGTATTATAATATATTCAGGGTTTCTTTCATCGTCAATGGGTCTGTCTTTGTTAAAATGCATGTTTCTCAGTTTTACTTGAGTTTTGAATAGTTCACGGAAACGTTCTGGGAAAGAGTCATAGTAAATGTAGTCGGACATGTCTTTGTAATGAAATAAAAAATTAAAAAAAATAAAAATAAGGTTATATTTTATTTAGTGAGGACGGTAGTGAATTCGTTAGTGAATTCGTTAGTGAAGTCGTTAGTGAAGTCATTAGTGAAGTCGTTTATGTGTCAGATGGTTTTGTAAATATTTAAGGTTAAGTTGGTGTTATGGTTGTGTTGTAAAATATACGTTACCGGTTTCGTAAAGTGTCAAAACCACTAAGTGGTGTACGGAGGCGCGCAGTGCCACAGTACGCGACTTAGGGATACTAACTCCTATTGATGACATTCCAAATGAAATTCATCATCTTTCATTTGGAAGTTGTTTTGCATCTCCATTGATAAAGATAATAAATCAACACCGATTACATCCATCTTGTCATTGCCAATTTGATGCCACTATAACTAAAATTTTTACTATTAATTTAATTATTTTATCTTTGAAGCGATGAAATTTTGTGTATAAATGGAAGTCTTGTCAATTGGAAGAATCAAATTTATGTGCATTCTTATTTTAAGATACTTGATGAGAGTGTGGTAGAATTTACGAAAAAGTAACACTTAACCTTAAATTTCCAAACACTATTTTTTGATTGTATTTTGTTATTTATATATTTATATATATATGTATATTTATATATATATGTATATTTATATATATATGTATATTTATATATATATGTATATTTATATATATATGTATATTTATATATATATGTATATTTATATATATATGTATATTTATATATATATGTATATTTATATATATATGTATATTTATATATATATGTATATTTATATATATATGTATATTTATATATATATGTATATTTATATATATGTACATATTTATATATATGTATATATTTATATATGTATATATTTATATATGTATATATTTATATATGTATATATTTATATATGTATATATTTATATATGTATATATTTATATATGTATATATTTATATATGTATATATTTATATATGTATATATTTATATATGTATATATTTATATATGTATATATTTATATATGTATATATTTATATATGTATATATTTATATATGTATATATTTATATATGTATATATTTATATATGTATATATTTATATATGTATATATTTATATATTTATATATGTATATATTTATATATGTATATATTTATATATGTATATATTTATATATGTATATATTTATATATGTATATATTTATATATGTATATATTTATATATGTATATATTTATATATGTATATATTTATATATGTATATATTTATATATTTATATATGTATATATTTATATATGTATATATTTATATATGTATATATTTATATATGTATATATTTATATATGTATATATTTATATATATATTTTATATATGTATATATTTATATATGTATATATTTATATATGTATATATTTATATATGTATATATTTATATATGATATATTTATATATGTATATATTTATATATGTATATATTTATATATGTATATATTTATATATGTATATATTTATATATGTATATATTTATATATGTATATATTTATATATGTATATATTTATATATGTATATATTTATATGTATATATTTATATATGTATATATTTATATATGTATATATTTATATATGTATATATTTATATATGTATATATTTATATATGTATATATTTATATATTATATATGTATATATTTATATATTTATATATGTATATATTTATATATGTATATATTTATATATGTATATATTTATATATGTATATATTTATATATGTATATATTTATATATGTATATATTTATATATGTATATATTTATATATGTATATATTTATATATGTATATATTTATATATGTATATATTTATATATGTATATATTATATATGTATATATTTATATATGTATATATTTATATATGTATATATTTATATGTATATATTTATATATGTATATATTTATATATGTATATATTTATATATGTATATATTTATATATGTATATATTTATATATGAATAAATAATACATCAAACTAGTTTTAGAGTTGATAGTAAGAAGCGAAGAACAGTACCAGTAAGATACAGCAGTAGTAGCTGCTTCATGCTGCATTGAGTATTGTTGAATAATTTGAAGTAGTGGTTTTTGAAATCAGCACCCCTATGAGAGCGCTGGCGACCGAAACACCACTAGTAAGATTGTGTATTAGAAACTGCTTCATGCTGTGTTGAGTAAGCTTCGATGTCTTTATCAGACCACCTTTAAATTAACCACTCACATTCTCACTGTGGTCCATCTAAAATTTGTAAACTTTATGACATAAAATTATATTATATGCAGGATCCCACCTATTACTTAATCTTTTTGGAATAAATGTTTTATAATATTTATCGATTGATTGTAATTTTTTGTATAAAAAAAGTTTTTTATTTATATTAAAAATATATTCGGTTAATGATATTATCTTATAATTTGTAAATAAATCTAGTAATAAAATAACTTTAATAGTTGGTGTCACTTTTTCGAAAATTCTGGTTTTTTCTGAAATTTTGTGTATAAATGGAAGTCTTGTCAATTGGAAGAATCAAATTTATGTGCATTCTTATTTTAAGATACTTGATGAGAATTAAATATAAAATTGTTGAGTCTTGAAAATATATTGCCTTGAATATACATTGTGACTTGGACTACATTGGTCGATTCTGGTTTATAAATGAGAGCTCTGGAAGAGGTTTAGTCAATAGCAGAAAAATATGTGATTGTCAGTCAATTACTGTATATGAGAATCATATTTCAAGATAAGTTGTCACAGACTTTTCTAAATGACCAATAAAGGTATGGTGTCATTTTTGATTTTGGGCAATTATCATTTAATTCTATCGGCGCGAAGCGCCAATAGAATTAAGACAGTATATAAGATGTTACGAAGACTTTGCGGATATTTATTCTACAATAAATTAGATTCTTATTTTTATATTTTTATGACTTATTTTTGATAGTTTTCGTTCAGAAATTTTAATCATATTTTAAGTAAACATATATTAGTATTCTTCATTATTTTTTTGGCGCAAGCGCCAACCAAATAGTGAATATTGCAATTTTTCAAAAAATTATTAAATTCGGCCGAAGGTGGCGTGCTTGCCCGAAGGGCAAGCGAAGCCACCTGAGGCCCCAAATTATATTTGATCAAATATATATCTTCACACTGCAGATCAATAAATCACATGATATGCTTGTTTTTTTCATTGTTGATATATGAACAAACGATACTAACATTAAGTCTTACTGACACCGTTGCTTCCTAAATAATGAAATAAATCATGGATTTGAGCAAACTAGATTTGGCAATATTTTTTTTCATTGTTGATATATGAACAAACGATACTAACATTAAGTCTTACTGACTCCATTGCTTCCTAAATAATGAAATAAATCATGGATTTGAGCAAACTAGATTTGAAAAATTTCGTACGACAGGAAAACAGTGAACCACATTTTGATCAATCTCTTTTGTAATATTTTACTTCTTAAATTTTTTAATGTCTGATCAAGACAGTAATCAGAGCAAATACAGTAAACTGCGAAGTGTCTACAAGTATTTCATTGATTCGTACGATGCGTTATATCAGCTAAAAACAGAAAAAGAAGAAGAATTAAACTCAATTTACAAAATGATCAAAACGAATTTGATTGATTCAAAGAAATGTCTTCCACAAATTATAATAAAAGATATTTTGGATATCATTCGGTATAATAATCGCTATACAAAGTCATATTTATCTCTTGCCAAACTCATATCAGATGATTATCAAGTCAAAGAGATCAACAATGTTGAATATGTTTCAAACTTTTTGTTTTACAAAGAGTATGGCATGAAATTGGACAAGTCTGCTAATTTCGAAAAAATTAAATCAGAAAATCTCGACATTCTTAAAGAAAATACAATTTACAGAGCAATCATGAATAATGACTTAGAAGTATTCATTTCATTCACTAAAATAGAAGGATTTGATAAATATCAAAAATTTAAAAGTAGTTTATATCCATATTCTTACTATGGATATTACTTACTTGAATTATGTTGTTACTATGGAGCAGTTGATTGTTTCAAGTTCTTAAGAACTAAATTTAACTCAAAAATAGCAAAAAGATGTCTAACATTTTCATTTTTGGGAAGAAATCATGAGATAATGAGTGAATGTTTGAAACAACAAGAACCAGATAAAGAATGCATGGAATATGCAATTATTTCACATAACATTGATTTTGTAACATTCTTAGTGAATGAGTATATCATGAGTATCGACTTGCATGCTTGCAAAAAATATAATAATCTTGATTCATTTTTAGTTTTTTACGATCAAACTAATCTTTTATTCAGCTGCTTGATTTTTTCAACAATGCTCAATATTCCATCTCTTTGCGAATATTTCCTTTCATTAGGTGTAGATATCAATAAAAAACTTTTAGATGGAGATGAAAAAGGTGAATATGGAGAAACGGCTCTTCATATTGCAGCAGAATATAATAGTAAAGAAGCCGCTGAACTTCTTATTTCATATGGTGCAAATATCCATGAAAAAGATGTATATGGACAAACCGCTCTCCATATTGCAGCACGTGAGAATAGTAAAGAAACTGCTGAAGTTCTTATTTCACATGGTGCAAATATCAATGAAAAAAGTGAATATGGAGAAACGTCTCTCCATATTGCAGCACGTGAGAATAGTAAAGAAACTGCTGAAGTTCTTATTTTACATGGTGCAAATATCAATGAAAAAGGTGAATATGGAATAACGTCTCTTCATATTGCAGCAGAATGCAATAATAAAGAAGCCGCCGCACTACTTATTTTACATGGTGCAAATATCAATGAAAAAGATAATTATGGACAAACCGCTCTTCATCATGCAGCACGTGAGAATAGAAAAGAAACTGCTGAAGTTCTTATTTCACATGGTATAAATATCAATGAAAAAGATAAAGATGGAGAAATTGCTCTTCATAAAACAGCCTTAAATCATAGTGAAAAAACCGCCGAACTTCTTATTTCACATGGTGCAAAAAACTAATGTTTTAACATAAAATGATAATTTTATAAATATTTCGATTTTTTGAATATCAATTAAAAAGATAATATTGGAAAAATCACTATCAGTTAATGAATACCTAAGGATCTCGTATGGAGAAAAATCTTCTCCAACTCTAAACTTCAGTTGGAGAAAAAAAACTTCTAAATTATTGTAGTAAAATCTTCTCATTTATTTTCCAGGGTTTGCCGGTGTATTTACCTAAAATATTTGAGATAACTCTACATGGCATTTGCATATAAAACTCTCAAAAATGTGATCATTATGGTTGAGTCAAAACTCACCTACTATAAAGATAAAACGTAATATAAATCGATATAGTAAGACTTACTTCATTATCCTTATAAAAATCCTTGCTTATCATCGAACCCAACTAGTTTAATGATAAATATCAGTTATCTAGCATTTAAAACTATTTTTAATAATAACTATAGTATATCTATTTACCATACAATAAACAAATAAAAACAAATAATTCGAAAATTATGTATTTTGTGTCATTTCCAAGTGGAGACAATCTTGTTCTGTTTAACTTTTTTTCTTGGTCTTAAGTTAAGATTCTGATGATTGATACCAGCTATACCATGATTATGAGGCTTCTCAAGCTAGAAATGGAGATGGTGAACTTCAATTTATGAAAACAGATAACAAAAGTGACGAAATTTTAGAATCCATTCAATTTTTATCGCTCAATTACCGATCGAATATGCATTGATGTAATTAAATATTTAGAATCAAAAATTAGAGAAATTTTGAACCACTCACTTTTTCCGAATGCAGGGAATCCAATATCGAAACAAAGTTGTGCTTGTTGGAACAACGCATACAGGAAAGACATCAATTGTTCAAAGATACGTAAATGGACAATTCATGATTAATTCTGTTTCTTCAATGCAAGCAGCATTTTTCCAAAAGAATGTCATGATCGGCGGCAAGGAGCAAACTCTTGAAATTTGGGATACAGCCGGACAGGAGCGTTTCCGTTCTTTAACTCCAATGTATTATCGCGATGCAAGAGTAGCAATCGTCGTTTTTGATATAACTGATGCGAATAGCTTTTCGAAGGCAAAACAATGGATAAATGAACTCAAGTCTTCAAGAGGAGACTCAATATCCCTTGTACTTGTCGGAAATAAATCCGACCTCGAATTTATTAGAGTTGTACAAATGTCAGAAGCAAAACAATATGCAAAATTACTCGATATTCCATATTTCGAAACAAGCGCGAAGACCGGAGTTAATATTGAAGAAGTTTTCATACAAGTCGCTCAGGATGTTACAGCTAATTCAACATTTGAAAGCGCTTATGGTCCAAATATAGCTCAGACTCAAAATCAGGAATCATCATGCTGTTAATTTCAAATTTTCTTTATATGACGAATCTATTTCTTCGAAATTACTTATATTACTATCTTTACTCTATATATATTTAGATTTGTAAATGTTCTTTCATATATTATATAGTTTTTACTTGATAATTTATATTTTTTTTTATAATTTACTTAAGAAGCACTGAATCTCATAAATTCATCATCATTCTTAAGTCAATATCTATTTAAGCTTATCATAGATAATGAAAGTAAATATTTTTAATATTTTTTTGATTAATTTTAAAATCATCTCATTTAGATGCAAATATTTACAAAATTGTATAAACATTAAATAATTTATGTAAAAATGATTCAATTTGATTTTTTTTTTAAATATGAAAAATATATTTTTCTTTTCATTTTGATTTTTCATTTCTCTGGCACTATGTCGACATATCGATGCATTTCTCTATAACAGTTCTTTAAGTAACGCCGTCTGCTTCACCGTCATCGCGATTATCTTTCTGCCAATTGTTGCCATTGTCAGCTATTCAAATTCAAATTTGAGACAACATTCAAAATTGTTCGACATTTCTCTGTTAGATTTGGCTGCGAATACAGATATATTATATAAAAATATTTTTGTCAGCTTGACATAAAAAAATGCAAATTTGCCGTCAAAATCAGATTTAAGATGACATATTCATTGTTTTCACCATTTGACGATTCGACAGATAGCTTTCTAACTCCCTTCCTCAATGACGCACCTGAAAACAACTCCCAAATGATTGATCCGATTGATCCATCCCGACCAATGACATATGTTTCACCTTTTCGTCCTCCAGCATCAACCACACCGAGATCTTTTGAGTCTTTACCTCGTCTTACTGTGAATCCTGCTTTTAAATTAAATAGATCATTATCAGCAAAATTATCATCAATAAATTTAGTATCTCCAAGCATTTTCTACACATTTCCAGAGAATAGTACTCTTTCTTTACATTTTGATGTTGTTACAAATGATAGTGCAGTTTCATTTGTTACACAGCCTCCTTTGAGTATTACTGAACCTAGGTTCTTAATATATGCTGTTGTTCAAGCAGGAATTTCGCCAATGCCATTCAAAATGATCCTGAACGGTAATACAATAATGAGAAGATTAAATGATATAACCGCGGTTGATGTTACCAATGTTCTAGCCCCATTTGGTCAAAAGAATTGGTTGGTTATCGAAACAGAAGGAATTGTAGTTCCATTTTCTCTCATTGGAGTGTGGGCACAATTTAATACGGTTGAACAGATCATAAACACAATATCTGCAAGACCAAGTTTTCCATTTACTGATATTACTGCTTTATGCCCTATTACTGGTCACCAAATCGAAATTCCGGCAAAAGGTTGTCATTGTAATCATGAAATTGCTTCGATTTACTTTCCTATCTAACTACAAGTCAAGCATTAGGCATATGGACTTGTCCTATATGCAATAATCCACTACCTTTCGAGGATCTTAGAGTTGGTACTGTGAATCATGCAAAGGATGAAGCAATCGAGAACGCATGGGGACTAAATCAGGATGCAGGGGAATTTGAAGAAGGATCTTTTGCTTGGTAGACAAAAATGTTTTATAAAATGTTGTTTTTAGTAAATTTTTTATAATATTCGACGAACTTAATTCACAAATTTTACTTTTATCATTTTCCAATCGTAATATATAATTACCATGATTTCAATTTGATTTCTTCATAATATTGGATTATATTGGTAATTGGCTGTGAAGAAATTGACACTAAACCATTAACATACTATCTCATCTTCTCTTGGCCAAAATCGAATCGATAAAAAATTAATAAAATTTATTTAATTGACCCAACTCACAAGAAAATCCCGATGACATCTCCGTGTTATTGCAAATGGAAATATTTTTTGTAAAAATTAAATTCTCGATAGCACGTTTTTCAAAAGGAAAAAATTGACAATGCAACAAAAATTTTAATAATCAAATATCAGAAGATTATAAACAATAAGCATCACAATAAATTTCAAATTTGGCAATTATAACATTGTTTTACGTTATTGACAATCAACAGTTCATAATTGAATATTAATAATTGTAAACTATTGAATAAACGAGGTAATTGACAATATCGAATATCGATAATGATATCTTTATTAAACGAATGATCCTGACGAAAAATCGCAAAAATAACCAATTGACACGACCATTTAATTTGAAAGCTTATTTAATGCTGCTAATTATCTTTTCAAAATTTTGAGAGCTCGAATATTATTAGTTTAACGATATTATAGATTGTATATTGATATTTAGGATTTTCATAAAAATCGATTTTTGAATAATATTTTCAAAATTGACAGGTACTGAATAATGATTATTTGTAAAATATGTAAATCGTTGGAAATTAATAGTTATCTATACAATTTCTAGTATGGAAATCTATCATTAGCCCGGAAATATTCATATTCAATGATATCTCAATTGAATATTCAAATTGAATTGAAAATATTGGTCAGCTATTTAAAACCATTTTTACATTATTTATATTCATTACAATGCAAAATGTTCGCATACCAGACGTTGTCAAGCACTACAAGATCACAAAGGTCATTGGCAGAGGATCCTTTGCCGTTGTTGCTCTTGCAATTGATCAAAAAACATCTCAAAAAGTTGCAATAAAGATCATTGATAGAAGTACAATCATTAATTATGGAATGCTCAGATATTTAGAGAATGAATTAAGATTACTCTCACGCTTAAATCATCAAAGCATTGTTAAAGTTTATGATGTTATCTATGAAGAAGACATTATTATGATTGTCATGGAATATCTTTGCAACAATGATATTCAAACAAATCTAAATAGAGGCACGTTCTTCTCCACAAAAGAAAAAATCGAAATCTTATATCAAATCCTTGAAGGAATTGAATATCTTCATCAAAAAGGTATTGCACACAGAGATATCAAGCCAGAAAATATTATTTTTGATGAAAAGTACAATCCAAAGCTTGTTGACTTTGGTTTATCAAAAGAAAAGGGAAACGCGCTATCTTCATTTTGCGGAACAGAATATTATATGGCTCCTGAGATCCTTCAGAATGATACATATTATGGACTCAAATCTGATATCTGGAGTTTTGGAGTTACAGCTCATCTTATATTTACAAATGAGTATCCATGGGATACAACAAAGAAGAACAAACACCTTTTCGACATGAAGAAAGGTGTTTTAGAAATTAAGAATCAAATTACTGGTCCAATGAATGGCATTGTTTCTAAATGCCTTGAATTTGATCCAGAAAAACGTCCATCAGCTTCTGAACTTTTACTTGACATTCAAGAGTTATTGGCAAATAGTATCAAGATTAGAAACACTCATAGCAACAAATTATCACTTCCAAAGCTTCAATCCAAGCCAATAACTGTATATGCTTCTAAGCAATCCAAAGAATTCAGATCATTTGACAATTTATTACCGAAAATTCGCGTCCGAAGAGTCCCAATCCCTATATCTCATTGAATCGATTTAATTCAACTAAAATTTTGTTTGTATGTTTTTATAATTAATAATTTTTTACTTATTTTTTGAAATCAAATTTAATTAGAATATAACCATAAAGAAATCAAGTGAACAGTTATAGTACACAATAAAATCCATAAAAGAACTTCATACCATCAATATAATAACAAGATTTTGAAAATCTTTTAAATCTAGGATTGTTGTTAGTCTGAAGCTCAAGAATCATCCATATATTGATATTCTTAACAAAAGAAATCACGATGAAGTTTCCTTTTCATCTAGATTATCCAAATATTGAATAAAATTTCGAATTTTTGGATAAATCTACAAAATATTATTATTGCCTTCCACAATAAACGGTAAATAGTTGTTTGTCTCTCATTTACGTTTTGCTGTCTTTCTTCTTGGAGATTTGTTTTTCGGACTGGATTTAACTCCAAAGGTTTTTCTCATTTCGGCCATACCTTCCAAATGTTGTCTTTTTTCTTTCAAATCAGCCAGTTGAGAAGACATTTCTTTGATAAGAAGTCTATTCTTAGAAAGAGAGTTGTTCTCTATCTGCATTACTTCTTTTAGATCTTCAAGTTGCTTATTTTCCTCTTTTAACTCTTTAATTTGAGTTTTGTACGAATAATATTTTTCATTCAGAATATCAAAGTACTGTTCTCGTTTACTGGAAAGTTCCATCAATTCGCTTGTATTTTGAAGCTCTGAATTAAGTTCTAAATTCACAATTGATTCTCTTAATTTTTCTATTGATTTTTGTTGTGTAATTATCTCTTCTTCCTACTTCTTAATATTTTTATCTGAATAGAATGTTGTAAAAAAGGAAATCTGTTGAGTCAATTCAAAATGTTCGTCTTCAAGACAAAGAATTTTAGAGAAATAGTCATTATCTTCTGTATTAACTTTGTTTTTATCAGGATAGAACTTTGAATTGAACACATAAGTCTTTTCGTATTCTTCTTGTTCGTTTTCTTTCATTTGATCAAAACTAGCATATAAATCGTTGATTTCATCTTGTAGTTGTTGTATTTCATTTCGTAATTCTGCTTGTTTAATCTTTCTTGTTGTTAAATCTTCGTATTGTTTAAAATTTGTCTTGGGTTTTCTTGTGAAACGTCTTGGATGACATGGAGGAGCTATTGGTGATTTCGGATTTGCATCTTTCTTTGTATCTGGAGATTTGACAACATGTCCAGACATGAAATGTAAGGAAAATAAGATTAAAAAATAAACTGATATTTTGTTTCCTGGTTACATATACAGTTTAAATTCGGTATTAGATTTCGCTTGCGTTTGATCAACAACAATTTTTTCATGGAGAAAAAAAGGAAGTCAAATCATTAAGTTAGTACTTTAATCTAATTCAAAAATATCTAAAGAGTATTAAGTTACCACTATTTTATTATATGCTCAATAATTCTTATAAACCCAGGATCCATCGACACAGGCAGAGTAACCAGAAATTTTTAGTGCATTAGTGTACTGCCACATTGTATGGGGTCCAGTGTACTGACAAACAGAGTTGTATTGAGCAATCCAAACTTCAATTCCAGCAGCGTTAATCATAGACATATCAATATAGTTTCTGGCCCAGTTCAAGTTGCAATAAACCATTGGCTTGTATCCGTAAGCTTTCATTCGATTACAGAAAGCTATTGCATTTTTAGCCGTTTGAACTTTTCCAACATTCATTGTAGCATCTTCATCATCATAGGCAACTGGCATTCTGAAATGACTCTTATATGGATTGATAATTTTAGCACAAAAATCTGCTTCGGCAATTGCTTGTGCTTCTGTTCTAGCATAACCATAGTGATATGCACCAATAAGGATATTTGCAGCAATTGCTTCGCGCATATGGTTAGCAAACTGTTTATCTTCCTGGCCAGCTGCAGAACCAAAACCAGCGCGGATCATAACACCTTGAATACCACTATTTACCTTTGCAGCATTGAAATCAATGTTGCCTTGCCAAACACTTACATCGATGATCTTATAAGCGTTCATTTCTTAGTTTGCTTTTGAAATATACAGTTTTTCAATTATTTCAATGAGACACATCAAAAATGCGTTGACCAAATCATTAATAATATCATAAAATGGGAATTTCTCGCATATGTTCGTACATGAGCAAATACTATACCTTTTGCGAATAAAGAATTTTTTCATAAAAAAAATTTTTTAGGAATTAGCATATCGGCGTTTTGCGACATTGCCAAACGCCAGATTTTAACCCGACATATGAGCATAAGCTCGTATATTGGAATAAACTCGACTTATTCCATATTAAAGTTATTATAATAATAAGGCACTTAATGTGCAAATCTAATTGAATTAGAAAATGCACATTAAGTGCCTTTTATTGGAATATGTAATACCACATATGGAATATGAAATATGATTTGCGGAATACCACATATAGAATATGTAATCAAAATACAAAGATATTTTATATAACAATTAATTTTTTTATTTTTTCAGCAAGTGTGGATAAAAAAGGATTACAAACAAATTGAATAGTTCCTATGTCCTTTTTTGTTTCAAAAAAATCAATAAATTAATGATTTGTCTCAAACAAATAAATTAATGAATTGCAATTGATTTGAGTTGCTATAGACATTATAAAAGGTTCAAAAGTTTATATAAACCTAGTAAATTAAAATAAAATTTTCATGAATTGAACATATTAGTTGGGTTCCGCTTTGGCAAACTTTCCTGTGAAATTTTTTGGGAAAAATGTTGATGGATATTTGGGAAAATTTTGAAAATTTTTGGGAAAATTTTCGATGGTAAATTTTGGAATAGTTTTGTCGGTTTTTGCATTTTTAAAATGTTAGTCACCTTTCTCCTTCCAAAGTGAAAAAAATTGTTTAAAATATAAAAAGAATTTTTATTCGCATAGGCGACAAACAAGGATTTATAAATAAATAATGGGGCTTTGAGTATTGATCTGAATTGAATCAGATAATTAGCCGTAAAAAATCTTCTCATAACGATTTCTCATGCATGAAAGATGGCTATGAGTGGCGTTAATGAGGGCGTTTGATAATTGGAGTTGGACATAAAATTTGGAGATCTTAAATTTTGAGAATCTTGGTGCGATCTTACTGGTAAAAGCAAGAGTATGGAAGGAGATTGAACTGAGAAAAAAACTAGAGCATGCAAAAGAATCATGCTACAGCTTAGTTGAATGTCATTTATGCAAATAAAAATATCTTTTTCAAATTTCAAAACAAATTTTGCCACTTTTGAAAGAAGATAAGGTAACAAACATTTTAAAATGCAAAAACCTAGACTTAAACTATGCCGAAATGTGAGCTCACCGTTACGGTTTTTTCTTTGGGGGCGAGCTTGCGAGCCCCCAAAGAAAAAACCGTAACGGTGACTAACATTTAGGAAAAATTTTATAATTTTTCCCAAAATGTTTATTTTATATATGCTAACAATATTATAAGTATAATTTCAAAATTTCTTTTTTCACAAAAAAAATTGATAATTGAATGGAACAAATAGTTCATTTTTTAGATGTTTTCTTCTAAATACTGGCGCTTATACTAGATAGAAACTTCTATCGGTATTCTCGGCGTAATACTTTCGCCTGAGTGATGCTATCTCGGACATAGTCAGAGATTAATCTTTCGACGAAATGGTAGAAATATTTCTTTTGAAATATTTTAGGGGCTCTGAGGCACAGCCAGAAGGTCTCCGCCATTTCAACCGTACCTAGAAAATTAATCTCAATATATTATGTTGGGTCGTCGCAGTGATTCACTGTTAATCATCACTTTAGCGTTGCTTCGCCAGCTTTAGAATGTATCTAAAAAAGTAGTAATTAATAAAATCTGTAATTATGGAATATTGTTACAGGCGTGAAGAATGTAAAAAAGTTCTAATGTTGCATGCTAAGTTCGGTCAACGATAGAAATTGAGTGTAAATTAATCGTCGAGGAAGTACGATTATGTAAAGTAAAAAAAATGTTGTGGGATTTTTAATATTATATATTATTTTATAATAAAATTTTTTGAGTCATTTTAAGAAGCACATATAATTTTTTGAATTTAAAAATTAAAGTAGTGTCAAACGAATTGATCACTTAATTTAATACTCAGATTTCTTAAAATTAATGAAAAAAAGGTTTTCTGAGAACTTTTGAGAATGGTTTTCAAATTCCATTATTGAAAATATATAGGTATTGTATGAAATTCAAACTCTATATTTATTAAAATTCTAAATTTTTAATAAAATAACTTTTCAGAGGAATATGATTTTGAATGGTTGATTAATAAGAATAAAAATGTCTACGATTTTAAGGAGGGAATTGTTCCTTATGAGGTATACATCATAACTATATTACCTCATAAGGAACAATTCCCTTTTGATAGCTGGGAAACTTTCTCTGAATAACTTATCATTTGGAGAAAGTTCCCCAGCTATCTATTAGGAACTAAAGGCTATGAGGCACTAATATATAATCAGTGCCTCATAGCCTTTAGTTTCCTATTAAAAACGAGAAAACTTGTTCGAAATGATAAAAATTTCGAACAAGTTTTCTCATTTTAAGGAGGGAATTGTTCCTTATGAGGTATACATCATAACTATATACCTCATAAGGAACAATTCCCTCTTGATATCCTGGATATTTTTGAATATATTTTTTTAATTAAAGTTCTCAAAAGTATTATCAAAAGTGATTTTTAAAATATCTCCAATTAATTAACTAATTAAAAGTATTATATTTTTAAAATTAAATAGTTTTTCAATTTTTTTGAAGGAATTGAGATACTTCCCACGACAATAAAATTGAGAGGTTTACATTATGACTGATCTTAGCATGCAACACTAAAATTACGATTCTCGAACTTATTATTATTTTTGATTGGAATACTATTTTAATATTTCAATCAAAAATAATAATAAGTTCGAGAATCTAATTTTTACTTATGCACCAGTTAAACTTTTATTTTTTAAATAAACTATTTCTATTAAAAGATTTTAAACGTTTTTTTTAATTCTTCACAGTTTCTTAATTTCGAGTTTAAAATGATATATACTAGAATATATATATATGATAAAATTGTATGAAAGATTTTAAACGTTTTTTAATTCTTCACAGTTTCTTAATTTCAAGTTTAAAATGATATATATTAGGATATCTAGATATGATTAAATTGATTGGGTTTCATTATTTATTAATTTTGAACTCTATTTCAAATTTGATAAGATTTTTATATCTTTTAATCACTTCATTTATCAACATGGATGAACCATGCGATGAAGATATCATCACCAAGATAAAAGAATCCAGAAGGGCGAACATTGTTGTTACTGTTTCACCTGAGAATTCCGACACAGATGAAGAGCCATTAAATGAAGAAGAGGCAAAAGAGATGACATTGACCAATCCAATGCCCAGGTTCTCGATTTCAATATTCATCAGGATGCATCCAAAGCTCCAGCTCCGATCATTGTGCAACTTCACATATGAACAGTTGGAATACCTCGCTGACTTTATTGAATCCAACTGTGGAAGGGCCAGAAGAGGAAGGAAGGTCAAATTTTCAACAATCAAGTCTCTCTTCCTCACGCTCACATATTACTGCACATACTTGCTCTATTCAGCATTATGTCCGTTGCTACATATTTCCCAGTCATGCTATTCCAAATTAGTTACAAGAACTACCAAAGTTGCATTTCCAATCTTTACGAGCTATTTTCTTCCCAATCACTGTCCACCGTTAACTTCAATGAAGAAAATCCATAACATTCTCCTAAGATTTTTTTTAATTTATCTCAATTAAAAATTTTATTATTACCTAAATTAATTTTGTAAACTATTTTTGAATAGTTTACAATTTATCCTAATGGGACCCATATGCGGGTTCAATTTCTGGTTTATCATCTAGATATATTATGAAAGCCACTCAAAGGGTGATTGATTTTAGGATGTTCTTAGAAGATTTTTCGTTCATTTATATTAATTTTGTATTCCCGATTTACATTCACTAGCAAATCAATGCATTTCACACTTTAAATGACAATTAAATTCTAAGACATTGCTAGAACTGCAATTTCCATAAAAAGTTATAGTGTAAATTGCTTAAATAAATAATTATTTTCATTATTTTTCTCCAACAAGCTTGAAAATCAAACGAAAACTTTACAAAATACTTATTTACTCATTTGTAAATATAAATTTCTAACAATTTTTATCCTGAATTTAACACAATACTGTATTTCTAAAATTTGCACTAGTTCATTCCTAATTGATGCTCGGATTTCGGTATTCCATATGTGGTATTACATATTCCAATAAAAGGCACTTAATGTGCATTTTCTAATTCAATTAGATTTGCACATTAAGTGCCTTATTATTATAATAACTTTAATATGGAATAAGTCGAGTTTATTCCAATATACGAGCTTATGCTCATATGTCGGGTTAAAATCTGGCGTTTGGCAATGTCGCAAAACGCCGATATGCTAATTCCTAAAAAATTTTTTTTATGAAAAAATTCTTTATTCGCAAAAGGTATAGTATTTGCTCATGTACGAACATATGCGAGAAATTCCCAATATTGCAAATTGAATAATTTTTGTTGCTTTGATCTGAATCCGAGTTTCCATTAATTTTGATAAATCATCAAAAATTGGGATAAATACGGGTTATGCTAAACTATTTTGTAAATCGATTTCGGTTATCATCAAAAATTGAGTGGATATTCAAAATAAATCTGACAAAATCTATTATATTAAGATTACAGCATAGTTGTGGATGAAAAATTGCGATTGATTCAATTTTTTTCATCGTATTTAGGATAAAACGGATCATGAAGCTATGAATTTCAATTTTTTTAAGAAACTACTTATAATGATAATTTTAACAAAATTGATGTATCAAATCAATCAGTGAAATTTCTTTAAGATTAATTTCCTGATCAAGTCATATTAATTATGAAATATGATACTACAAGAGCAAATAATTAAAATTAAATATATTTCAAACTTTTTTATTACAGATAAAGTTGAGATACAAAAATAATATACATAAAAACAAAGAAGTTAAGCATCAGCGTTATTGCTGTTGTAAACTAAATTAAAGCGAAGGCAATAATTTTTTCTATTTGGTTCATAGATACAGAAGATACCAAATACAAGTGAAAGAGAAGAAATAATTGCAAAGATAACAACAGTTAGCAAAGTGCCAATTGCTTCATCTAAAGATGAGAAGATTTGAATGACAACAAAAGAGCTGATCCAGTTAACAGAAGAAGCAATACTTGTTGCTGCTGATCTAACATCTGCTTCAAAGAGTTCTGGAACAATGTACCATGCAATAGGACCTGTTCCAAGTCCATAGAAGAACAAAAATCCAAAAATGGCTGCAACAGGAGTGACGTAGCCAAAGTTATATTTGACGGAAAATCCATAAAGAAGAAGGAAAATAACAACACCACCAGCACTGATGCACCATGCTGGCTTTCTTCCGAACTTTTCAACAAAGAATGAAGAAATGAAAATTGTAATAACTTGGGCACTACTTGAAATAGCTGAAGCAATGCCTTGGTTGACTTTAACACCAGCTTTGTTGAATAATGTTTTAAGATTTGTGAGAATTCCATTAATTCCGGAGAATTGCTGGAAAACCATGAACATACAACCAATTAATAAGCCTTTGACATACTTTTTCTGGCAAATACCTTTCTTGGATGATGGATTTGGATTTTCTGCATCAGAATTCTTTCCTTCAGTGATTTTGATATCTGGTGATGATTCAGATTCATTTGAATTGTTATCTTTAACTTCTTCGCCTGATTTGTTTTCAACTTCCTTTTCACTACTCAAATTATCGATATTGTCATCTTCAACTTTTGTATCTACAGGCGAATCCTTGACAAACCAAATAAGGCAGGCAAGTAATGCACAAATGCATGCACCAATGATTGTTAGAACTCTCCATTTGAGCCAATTACCTAATAAGTAGAGGACAACAAGACCGATACTGATACCAAGGTTATTAAGTGTACCAAAGAATGCTGTATGGCCTTCCGGTGCGATTTCGACAATGTACATTGGAATAATTGATGAATAAGCGCCCATGACAACTCCTAAGAGGCCTCTAAGGACTATGCCAAACCATAACAACTTCTTGTTCATAACCAATAATAAAGCCCAAAAGACTGTACCGCAAATTGAAATGATGAATGTTGATAATTTACGTGTAGTGATTTTTGTTAAACCATGAGAAACGAATGGACCTGCAATAGCTAATAATGATGATACTGAATTGAAAAATGATGATTCATGATCAGAAATGTTGTAAGTATCTTGTAATTCTGGAACAACAGGGGATGGATAGCCAAGAACATATCCAAATGTGAATGCACCAAGCATTAGGATGAAGGCTTTGAATAGCAAAGGACCGCAGTATACCATGAACTTAAAATGATAATTGTGAGAAAAATTTTACGTTCTAGACATCATGATGTATTATAATAGTATTTAATATTTATGAGAAAATTAATTAATATGGTTTTGGATCGTCTTTCAATGGAGATGAGCGGAATTTTCCTCAAAAATCAGTATATTCAAAATTTAACGATAGAATTGTGCTTTAAACAACATTTTAAATCATTAGATATCAATGTTTATGGAAAATTCACAATTTTCAATCTTTTCAAAATAAAAAGATGCAAAAAATCGCAAATTATAATAATTTTCATGACGGTATTGTTACATGTCGCAATTTTACGCAATTATGTTTTAACCGAATATACTGAAATTGTATGAGATTGATCGCGATTACATTGAAAAGTATTAACAATTAATTATCGTCAAAATCTATCACTTTTTAATCACTGAATGCATCCCATTCATTTGTATTCTCAATCAATTTTTTTGAGCATAATTCGGTCCTAAATTAAGAGTATATTGAATTTTTGACCGAAAATTTTCGCGCTCTCAATCTTTGTTTTCAATTTGTTTCCGTTATTTCAATTCTCGTTATCTCTAGCACATTCAAAAAAAAAAAAAAAAAAAAAAAAAAAAAAAGGTAGTGGGGCTTCCAGGCACTTCGTGCCTTCTAGCCCCGAAGATGTTTAGTATAAATGAAGTTTTTATTCGGAAAATTGTTAGTCTTCTTGGTCGAAAACATTATATAATGTTTCACTTTTCACAAATTATATATGTTTTCATGTTTTGTCAAGACTTCTTCTTCGTAAATGTTTTGTCAAGACTTCTTCGTAAATGTTTTGTCAAGACTTCTTCGTAAATGTTTTGTCAAGACTTCTTCGTAAATGTTTTGTCAAGACTTCTTCTTCGTAAATGTTTTGTCAAGACTTCTTCGTAAATGTTTTGTCAAGACTTCTTCTTCGTAAATGTTTTGTCAAGACTTCTTCGTAAATGTTTTGTCAAGACTTCTTCTTCGTAAATGTTTTGTCAAGACTTCTTCGTAAATGTTTTGTCAAGACTTCTTCGTAAATGTTTTGTCAAGACTTCTTCGTAAATGTTTTGTCAAGACTTCTTCGTAAAATCAGACAAAAATATATTTTAGGTGAAGAGGTGAGATTTCACCTGTTTTTTCACCTCATTTCTCACCTCTTGAATTTTCATGAAATTTACACCAAAAATATATTTTAGGTGAAGAGGTGAGATTTCACCTGTTTTTTCACCTAATTTTTCACCCTCTTGAATTTTACACCAAAAATATATTTTAGGTGAAGAGGTGAGATTTCACCTGTTTTTTCACCTAATTTTTCACCCTCTTGAATTTTCATGAAATTTACACCAAAAATATACTACTAGGGTCATTTACGAAGAAATCTCAACAAAGTCTTTACGATGAAATCTTGACAAAACATAGACAAGAAAGTTCATGAGAAATTAGATGAAGAAGTCTTAACAAAGTCTTTACGAAGAAATTCATGAAAATTCAAGAGGTGAGAAATGAGGTGAAAAAAGAGGTGAAATCTCACCTCTTCACCTAAAATATATTTTTGTCTGATTTTACGAAGAAGTCTTAACAAAGTCTTTACGAAGAAGTCTTAACAAAGTCTTTACGAAGAAGTCTTGACAAAGTCTTTACGAAGAAATTCATGAAAATTCAACGGGTGAGAAATGAGGTGAGAAAACAGGTGACATCTCACCTCATATGTCCTTACTGAAAAAGTATGTGTTCCATCTGAAGTTCTTATATACGGGTCTTCCAGGAGCTTTTCACAAAATATATATGTTTTCATGTTTTGTCACTTTTCTGTCACTTTTCAGGGAAAAAACATTTTTATTGTATATAAAATGAATTTACAAAACCACCGTTACCCTTCTTTGGAAATAAGAGTAGATGTAAAGATATTCTATTGAGAGAACTTAAGAAACTACCGAATGGTCTAACATTTGTAGATTTGTTCGGTGGAAGTTTCTATATATCTCATTTGTGCCATACTGTATTTCCTGACTCAGAGATTATATGCAATGACTTCGACAACTATATGAACCGTCTCAAACATATACCAGACACTAACAAAATATTGAAAGAGTTAAAAGAAAAGATACCTATAGGTAAGATGGAACGTATACCATTAGATAAGAAAAATACTGTCAGAGAGGTTTTGAAAAAAGCAGAGTATATTGACTGGGATAGTATATCTTCTAGACTATTATATAGTGGTGCTATAAGAGTTCATGACATTGAAACACTTATGTCAAACGTTTTATATCTTAACTATACAAAGGTTTTCAAAGAGGACATAGAAAAATATACTGAGGGTATAGAGTTTGTGAGATGTCGTTGGACAGAGTTGTATGAAAAATATAAAAACAAGGAAAATGTTTTCTTTATAGTAGACCCGCCGTTCTTTAACACATACGATTTTCAATACCAAGCAGACTGGACTTTGAGAGACTCTTTAGAAACTTTAGACGTTTTACATAACCATCCATGCTTTTACTTTACATCCGATAAAAGTGGTTTGGAAAGTGTCATGAGATGGTTAGAGGACATACATGACTATGAGTTTATATATGACAAGATAGAATATGAGAGAGGTCCTATAAACCGGAAAAAGTGTCATAACAAAGAAATTTTATTGGTAAGTAAATGTGGTTTGAAATAGGACTACTTGTTTTAGGTTTTTTCCATTGTGTCATTTACTTATTTGACGTGGCAGAAAGATATAGAGAATATGAAGATGAACCAATACCAGCAAATGTTCAGCATATGTACTCGTAAGAGATATTTTTATCTAATATTAAATGGACGCACAGAACTTAGCGAATGCACAGCAACCTGGACAACCAAACCCAGAGAATATTCCAAATGAAGTTAGAATACAAACTGCAATGGCAAACTATGGTCAAGTGCCAACAGATGTACAAATGCAAACTGCCATGTCAAATGACGCTGCGTTAGGTTTGCCACCATGGTATGCAAATATGAGATGGAAAGAGTTTTATACAAACCCTGAAGTGGGATATAAACAACTCTATGCAGATGACGCGAACACAGGAGTTGACCCAGAATATGTTTTCTACCAGAGGAGAAATAGAATGTATGAGCTCCAGTTAAAGAATGCAATGGAACTCAGAAGGAAACGTAAGAGACTAGGTGGACATTAGATTTTTACATATAGTAAAATGGGTTTCTTCAGTAGTATTGGAAACTTCTTTCGAAATGTTGGAAGAGGTATATGGAATGGAATAAAATCTGTCGGAAGGGGAGTATGGAACGGAGTCAAAAATATTGGCAAAAGAGTAGGTCAGTTCGTTGGTATTATACCTAAAGACCCTGAACCAGAAGAACAAGCTCCTGTTATACAACAGCCTGAACCTGCACCACAGTCTAGTTGGCAACCAAATCCAACACCTCAACCGTATTAAAAATTATATTTTTACTGTTCGATAGTAGTTGTATATGAGACTAAGTTCTAAGTAAAACGCATGGTATAATGGAACTATTCTCTTTCTTCCATCTGTTGTAAACCATACTTGAAAGTCTGAAATACTTCCACTCGGTGGTTCATATAGCTTTGTAGGTTTTTCGTAAAAGTCATTTGCCAAGCATAAAAAAGAGTTTTGGGCGCCAGAAAATGAAGCATGAACGATAATAGCATCTGGGTCGAAAACATTTTCATATGTTCCATTAGGGTTTTCGACTTCATAAAAGTTCGGGTGTACTGGATATTCTGCAGGCTGATTTAACATCCTCAAAAATCTATACCATGCCAAGTTGTTATATTTTGTAGAAATATAAACGTCTTCTCCAAGGTCTTCTATTCTATCGATTTTAACAGTTGCATTTTTCCTGTCATATAAAATATCGAGATGGTACTCTCCTTCGTCAATGTTGTACTGTTTTGCATATTCGAGATAGATATCGTTTATTTTTTCTTGAAAAGCTTGAAGAGTTGTTTCTAAGTTTACAAGCAAACTAACTTGTAAAAGTTTTCCCTGTTCAAATTTCTCATACGTACGTTTCTCTTTGTTATAGTATCGAATTTCAAAAGCGACCGTAAATGGGAAACCATGTATGGCTTCTGAAATGAATTTCATTCTACGAAAGCCAATAGCTTTTGTGACGGATGGGTCTCTTAGCCATCTTAACGGGTAGTCAAAACGATAGCCTTCATGCTTTACGGTCTCTGTCTCAAACTTTTGACCGACATTCGTAAAAAGTTCATCTAATGGTTTAGTTGTAGCAACTCTAGAATTTTCTTTTTCTATTGAAAGCATATTTTATCTAGAATAAAAATGTCAAATGAAACAGCGTCTATGAGAGAAATAAAACACAACCGACAACTCATTTTGCAAGCTCTAAATAAGAACACAACAAACTTTTCAAACTATTCTAAGATATCTGAGTCATTGAAAGAAGGAAACTTAAAACTGACGATAAACCCAATGACAGACGAGTTTCTGTTTCAAGACAATAAGAACCATACTGTCTGTGTAAATCCAACAAAAGGAACTTTAAACGAGAAACCTATAGATGAACTTCTTTTGAAGGCAGATGTTAACAACAAAGCTGACAAAGAGTATGTCATTGAAAAAGTTCAAGAAGAACATGACAGAGCAGATGCAACATATGCAACAAAAGAACATACTCATCCTGAACTAGCGGACAAAACATATGTTGACAATAAAATGTCAAGTGAAGTGACAAGAGCTGACAAAGAATATTCTAAAAAGACTCATACACATACCATTGCAAATATTACAAACTTACAAGAAACCTTAAACAGGAAAAGTGACGTTGGACATACACATACCATTGCAAATATTACAAACTTACAAGAAACCTTAAACAGGAAAAGTGCCGTTGGACATACACATACCATTGCAAATATTACAAACTTACAAGAAACCTTAAACAGGAAAAGTGTCGTTGGACATACACATAC